TTAGAGGAAATCATTGGCGTAAATCATTAGAGTATATCATTAGAGGCAATACTCAGAAGAAATACTCAGACTGTCAAAGTCTATAATACAATTCAAGAGAAACAATGCGTCATCATGAAAATTTATCAACTTGGAGGATATACTTATAAAAAATCCCAAAAGCAAACCCTCTACGAAACTCTTAGAGGAAATCATAAGAGGTATAGATAAAATACTCAGACTCTGTCAAAGTCTATCATACAAAACAATTAATATGTCATAATTTAAATTCAAGAGAAACAATGCGACATCATAAAAGTGTATTATAAACTAAATTTCGATAAACCATTCTAATTTTCTGAAAACCAAAATAGTTCTTAGAGTACGTGCAACATGAATATTAATTTTGTATGGAAAATTTATGTTTGGCTTTCCATTCATGTGCTTGTTCGCATTGATGGTAAATAGTAATGCACAAAATGTGCTCTCAACACCTTCGGCTGCCCACGGGCACAGACTAGTTTACGAGATCAATATTTGCCATGAAATTCAATTGAGTGCGCGTGGTAGCCAAAGGAGTATCCACAGACAGCAGGCAGTGACTACACAAACACACACCCACTCTCTCTCTCTCACTACTTTTTTTGCCATCTAAATAACTGCAAAATTTCACACACACACACACACACACATACACATACACATGGGCATTCAATCGGCCGCACAATTCGACAACGGCAGCACCTGAATCGCCAGAGGGCGAATTCATGAATGCATCACTACATATGTGTGAAAAATATTAAAATGTTTGCTCGGCTCGCCTGTGTGAGTGTGTGTGTGTGTGTGTGTGTGTGTGCTCGTTGTGAGCTATGAGTGTGCGTACAATAGACTGGCAAAGAAACAGCAGCAGCAGCAGCAGCAGCAGCAGCAGCTAACACCAGATAGCAGGGGATTCCATGCTCGAATGTCAAAACTGAAAACCTTCTTGCTCCGAGAGAACTTTCAAATATTTATGAAAATATAATTTGCGCTCAACAGCAGCGGAGGAGGAGGAGGAGGAGGAGGAGCAATGTAAAAACTGCAAAATGTTGTGCGGTTGTGACCTCTGTGTGTGTGTGTGCGTGTGTATGTCTGTGTACCGTTATGACTTGCATATAAATTTCTATTTGACTATGGCATTAAATATTCTTCATTGTAAGTGCATACAAATGCAACTACAGAAAGAGAGAGAGAGAGAGAGAGAGAGAGAGACAGACAAATCTATATGTGTAAACGCTCTTGGCTCTGTATTGCCGTTGGCTTTGGTGTTGCTGTTGTTGTTGCTGTTGCTGTTGTTGTTGTTGCTGCTGGCGCTGCGAAGCTGCTTTTGAAATATATTTTGCGTTTTGAATGAGAATGCACTTATGCCACTTGACAGGTATTTTATCAAATTTTGAACAGAATATTTCTTTCAAAACAATTATTTTAATTTAACAATACAACATATATACATATGTATGTACATATGTGTGCGTGTATCTGTGTGCAGGTGTTAGCCATGTTAGACATTTATGCTTTGCAATTGCACAGTCTCTGCCTTATTCAATTACCAAACACCATTTGAAACGCACACATGTGCCTTTCTATGTGTGTGTTTTTGGAACAAGAGCATAAATCACTTAAGCCTTAAAGCCATCATCTTGTGCTGAGTGCAACACTTGCGTCTCCTTTATGTCGCCCGCTGCAGAGCCCGTCACTTATGCTCCGGCTTGAATATATCAAAAATGTTTGGCATGCAGCAAATTCAAATAATCATTTTTAAAGCTACACGACAGCAACAACATGGAGCATGCAGATTATGCTGCCGATGATGTGGATGCTGTCGATGCCGAGGTCATTGTTGTCGTTCCTCTTGTTAATCTTACGCTAAAGTTGCTAAAGGCACAGCCAAGGCGCAGCGAGTGCCTGCGGGGGCTAATAATAAACTTGGCCTGATGGAGTTATAAATGAGAATATCTTTTCCCACTTTAACGAATTTTTT